TTGAGTCCAGGTAATGTACCATTTTCTCTTTGATTATAGCCTCTATAACTTTACCAGTTATTAAAGTTAGACTGGTTGGCCTATAGTTTGACAATCGGGAATTAACATGAGGTAACGAGGGGGGCGTGGCACACATGAGGATCGGACGAGCCGGGTGTGACAACTTTCTGGTCAACATAACTTTTATAGGGGTACACAGATAGTTTGCATCCCCTCCTCTGAATCAGATCAAACTGGTTAGGGTAGGACGTGCACTTTGTAGCACATATGCTTTATGCAGTTTTCATCTTGCAAGCACGTATACTTCACGTGATCAGCATGCTGCAGCCCTGGGGCACATGAGGGGGTGTCTATGCTTTTGCATGGCCTCTGTCTTTGTGGTGTTCCTGCCATGTCTGCTACGTGCGCTCAATGCTCATGACTTTGTCCCCCAGTCTGCATTCCTTGTAACCAAAACATGAGTGCAACACTTAGCTCAAACCTCAGTTCTCTTTTAGCCTGTCTCGTGAGTGTCAGCTGTCTTGTCACCCAGCCATTCTTGCAACAATATAAAAATACATTCCAAAAGCAGTTTATCTAAAAGCTAGTTAAGAAAAATATACCCTCTGTTCAATTTCCTATCACAGCTCTCTCCTGTCTAACTTGATTCCTAAATTTTGTCTCGATCTGCCTCATCTCATGTTCATTGACCCATTCATTCCCAGCTTCTGTGATGTACAGGTCAGTGTAGATATCACTGATAAATGCAGCATCCCCCTGGTTTGCTGTCCCTTCAAACACTGGTCCATACTTCCCTTTCAGGGTTTCTTTCAGTGTCTGCTGTATGTTCAACAATCCTGAAAATAAAGATGAAATTATGAAAGTCTAAATAATGCCAATTAAAATGAAGTAGTCCAAAGAAAGTCCTGGCAGCTAATAAAAGGACATAATCACAGACCTTCCAGTCAATGTCATCCAGGCATGCAGCCATATAGTAAAATAACAGGCTTGAACCCCCCCCCCCCC